CAACAGAACTTCAATAAATGGTCTGAGTGTCAGACCCAACTAGAGCTTCCTGAGGAATTCGAGGAAATAAATAATGACATGTTGGTTTGAACCATATGGTCAGCAGTTCAAATTCACCAGCCACTCCTTGGAAACCCTATACAGAGTCACTACAAATCAGAGCCAACTCAGTGGCACTCAACAACAACAACAACAACAACAGTGTAATATCTGTCGCCCCTACCCTCCCACTCCGTATCTGCCAAATCTGCTGCCACTCGTTTGCTGTGATGCTGGAAGCAGTTATAGGTAGTTCAAATATTAGCAGGGTCACCCATGGTAGACAGGTTTCAGTGGTACTTCCAGACTAAGACAGACTAGAAAGGAGGAAGTGGTAGATCATTTCTAAAACATTAGCCACTGGAAACCTTATGACTAGCAATGGAACATTGTGTGATATCATGCCAGAAGATGAGTCCCTCAGGTTGTGAAACACTCAAGTTATGACTGGGGAAGAGCTGCCTCCTTAAAGTAGAGTTGACTTAATGACATGAGTGAAAAAAAGTTTTCAGGGCCTTCATTTTGTGATGTGACATGACTCAAAATGATAACAGCTGTAAACATCCAGTAATAATCAGAGGATGGAATGTACAAAATATGATGCTAGGAAAAAATGAAATGGTACATATAAAGACTGATATCTCAGGCATTAATGAGCTAAAATGATTAATACTGGCCATTTTGAATTGGACAATCATATGGTTTACTATGCTGAGAAAGACAAATTTACAAGAAATAGCACTGCATTCATTAACAACAAGAACATTTCAAGATCTATCCTGAAGTACATTGCTGTCCCCAAACCCAATGCCATTGAGTCTATTCTAAACCACAGCGATATATATATATAGTTTCTGAGGCTGTAAATTTTTACAGGAGCAGCGTCTCATTTTTCTTTTGCAGAGTTCCTAGTGGGTTGGAACTGCTGGCACTGTGGTTAGGAGCTCTGTGTTTATCCTATAGTATCACCAGAACTCCATACAATACTGTATGGATAATATCCATACACCTACTGGGAAGGTCCTGGAGTCTTGGTGTGGCTCTGTGGGGTAATGCACTGGACCACAAGGTTGGTTTGAACTGCAAGGTTGGTGACTCAAATTCACTAATCACTTTTCGGAAATCCTATATAGGGTCTCTATGAGTTGGAACCAACTCGATGGCACTTAACAACAACAACTGGGAAGATCAGTTAATATGACTATTATTCAATCTTACACAGTCAGTAAAGCCAGTGATGATGAAATTGAAGAATTCTACCAACTTCTTCAGTCAGAAATCTGTCAAGTGTGCAATCAAAATACATTGATAATTACCTGAGATTGGAATGCAAAAGTTGGAAACAAAAAGGTAGGATCAGTAGTTGGAAAATATGACCTTGGTGTAGAAATGATGTAGGAGAATTGCACGGTTGAATTTTGCAAGACTAATGATTTGTTCGTCACAAATACCTTTTTTTGCAACAACATAAGCAGCTACTATACACAGAGACTTCGCCAGATAGAACACCTAGGAATCAAATTGACTACACCTGTAAAAAAAGGTTATGGGAAATCTTCTTATCATCAGCCAAAAGAAGACCAGAGGCCGACTATGAAAGAAACCATCAATTGTTCATATACAAGTTCAAATTGAAGCTGAAGAAAATCAAAAGAAGTCAATGAGAGTCAAACTATGACTTTGAGTATACTCCATTGAATTTAGAGACCATCTCAAGAATAAATTTGACACATTCAGCACTAAAGACTGAAGACAAGACAAGTTGTGGAATGACATCAAGAACATCGTACATGAAGAAAACAAAGGTTTTTAAAAATGCAAAAAAAGGAAAAACCAAAAAGGATATCAGAAGAGACTCTGAAACTTGTTCTTGAAGGTAGAGAAGCTATATTGATTGGAAGAAATAAGGAAGTAAAAAGGCTGAACAGAAAATTTCAAAGGGCAGCTTGAGAAGACAGAGTCAAATATTATCATGAAATGTGCAAAGACTTGGAGTTAGAAAACCAAAAGGAAACAGCACATTTGGCATTTCTCAAGCTAAAAGAACTTAAGAAAAACCCCAAACTTCAAGCTGCAACAATTGGAGAATTCTGTGGGAAAAATATTGAACAATGCAGGAAACATCAAAAGAAGATGGAAAGAATACACAATCACTGTACCAAAAAGAATTGGTTACTTTTCAGCTATTTCAGGAGGTAGCCTATGATCAAGAAGCTATGGCACCAAACAAGGTTCCAGGAATTGGTAAAATACCATTTGAAATGTTTCAACAAAGTGATGCTGCATTGGAATAGTCACTCATCTATGCCAAGAATTTTGGAAGATAGCTACCTGGCCAACTGACTGGAAGAGATCCATATTTGTGTCTATTCTAAAGAAAGGTGACCCATTATTGAATAATATCAGTAATATTACTTGCAAGTAAAATTTTGCTGAAGATCATTAAAAAATGGTTGTTAACACTACATTGACAAGGAGCTGTCGGAAATTCAAGCCAGATTCAGAAGAGAACATGGAACAAGATGGATCTTGGCTGAAAGCAGAGAATACCAGAAAGATGTCCATTTGTATTTTATTGCCTTTGAAAAGGCATTCAACTGAGTGAATCATAACAAATTAAGGATAACATTTTGAATAATGGGAATTCCAGAACACATAATTGTGCTCATGCAGAATTTGTACATAGACCAACAGGCAGTCCTTAGAACAGAATAAGGGGATACTGTTGTTTAAAATCAGGGAAAGATACATGGTACAGTCATGGGAAGGTCCTTGTTTGCTTTCAGTATCTGTGGACCTGGCATTCTTTGGAGATTTCCATGTGTCTTGGCATCAGTCTTCCTTGGGGACTAGGAACTTCTTTGTGTAGTGACCTCAGCTCCAAAGAATGCACTCTGCGCCTCGCTTTTCTTTCTTGGTGGTAGTAGCTTCCTATGATCTCTGCTCCCTTGTTTAATCCCCTTTATAGCTCAAAGAGATTGATTTAAGATACAACCTAATCCTGTATCTTACCTCAGCAACATAACTTCTCTACTCCAGCCTCATGAACAGCACATAGGATATAGTATTGTATCACAACATGGAGGATAGTTACACAATACTGAGAATCTTGGCCCAGCCAAGTTGACACATACTTTGGGAGGGATTCAGTTCAATCTAAACAGCACAATAAAAGCAGAGTTGCGTAGTTGTGACCATGACCGTATGACTTTGTTGTTGTTGTGAAGGGCTGTCAAGTTGTTTCTGACTCACAGTGACCCTGCATAGGGTTTCCGAAGAGCAGCTGCTGAATTTGAACCACCAACCTTTTGGTTCGACCTTGTGGTCCAATGCTTATCCTAGAGTGCCTACCAGAACTCCTATAGGCTGAAAATATTTATTCTTTATCTCATTAAAGAAAATGTTTGCCAATACCTGAGAGACACGGTGCTTCATAGCACATACAAGTCAAACTCCTAAACCTGGCCGTCAAGTCTCTCTATCAGGTATTGGTGAACATAAAAAAAAAAAAAAAAAGATATTTTGATGGAAGTATGTACAAAGATACACCATTTCAACAATTTCCAGCTGTGCCATCCAGTGACACTGGTTACATGCTTTAAGCTGTATCACCATTCTTGCTAACCTTTCCAACATAATGCCATTACCTCAAATTCACTGCTCCTAAGTTCTTCATTCAGCCTTTTAAGTTATCATTGTCAATTTGATCTCACATAGATAATTCTTTAAAATAGCACAATGCTCAAAGCAGATGCATTTTACTAATTAAAATATACTATTATTTTGTTCAAAGAAGACTTCTGGGGATAGTTTGGGTTTAAGGCTTAAAGTTTAAAGGTCATCTCAGGACAATTGTTTCAGGAACTTAGTCAACCTCAATAGCTTTAGATTTCATTGAAAATGTAAAATTCTGTTCCTCATTCCCCCCTCATTTGGTCAGGGTTCTTCTATAGAATCATTGAGGATAAGTGCTTTGCTTATTAGGTGAGTGGAAGAGGTTTGCCAGTAAGAAAGGGAGAGGCAGGGAGATACTATAAGCAACTTCTGAAACAATCCAAGTAGCAAGTAATGGAGATGAGAACAATTCACTCATTTACGGAGACATCTTTATTGAAAACTTGCTATGGGCAGGGCACAGTTCTTGGTGCTGAAAGATGAAGAAGGCAGAAAGGCCAGAACTTGGCACCATTTTGTAGGGTGTGAGCATGTAACAGAGCTGATAAAATGTTGCATTCAGAGAAATCCTTCTCCCTTCTCCTGTATTCTAGCTCTCTGCCCATGGGGGCAGAGAGAGGAGAACTTTCACCTAAACTTCTTTGTCCACATCTAGAGCCCTTCTAGAAGCCCCTTGCTTATCCCTCCTCATGGGAGGAAGAAATGTTCCTTCAGTGGGCCATTGTCTCGAGTTTTTGAGCATGCCTTCCGGTGGGCGGGCTGCAGAAGTGCTTTGGGTACCCTTCTCCTTTGCCTCCCAGTGTTCTTGCTCTCCGACTTCACGGGAGCCAGCGTAGTGGTTACATATCGGGCTGCTAACCTCAAGGTCGGCAGTTTGAAACTACCAGCGGTTCCGCAGGACAAAGATGAGGCGTTCTGCTCCCGTAAAGATTTACAGCCTCGGAAACCCTGTGCAGGGTCACTATGAGTCGGAATCGACTCCACGGTACTTAACAACAACAACAACCCTCAACACCAGTCCACCTTACACCTCCTCAGCTCCAGCTCTTGCCCAAGCTGCAGGCTGGGAGAACACATTCCTGGGCTGCCCTGCGGATCAGGCTAAGCCTTGTTTTCCTCCCCCAGACTCCCCTGGCAGCCCTGAGGTCTGTATTCATGGCAAGAGGTGCCCTTCAGATCAACGTGTTGGGGGGAGACATGCCAATTTTCTAGGTTTACAAAAATATAGGTCATTGTGCTCACGGATGTATCACCATCAATGAAAGACAATTGGGAAAGAAAACCTGTTTTTAAAACAAAGTTCACTTTATTACATTATTTTTACATAGTAAAAGAATATGAAATGCAGCCGTGTCTAGATTCTCTTGCTGATTCTCTTGAAGACAATGTCACCCAATGTCATGGTCTGCAAACCAGAAAGGAAATCATAAAATGTTTGTCTGATATTCAATTGTAAAAATTAATTAAGTCTACTGAACAACCCTAAACACACTAACATATGAAAGAATTCAAAGATTCCTGTTTTCTGTAGGACCTGAGGTGGGGTTGTGACTTTGTCTAAAATCCTGTGCCACAACTTTGTTACTTCACTTCCTCACATGGAAAGTTCTGCCTTTTACTGATTTTTTTTCTCCATTAATAACTGTTAGCATAGTGGTTACGAATCGGGCTGTGAATCATAAGGTCAGCAGTTCGAAACTACCAGCTGTTCCGCGGGAGAAAGAGGAGGCTTTCTGCTCCCCTAAAGATTTACAGCCTCGGAAGCCCTGTTCAGGGTCGCTATGGGTCAGAACCGACTCGACGGCACTTAACAAGAACAATACTGTTACAGCAACACCATCCAATCCAATCCAGTGTAATCCAGTCCAATTACTCCAAGTTGCATTTAGCACCTACCATGGAGTCCTGATGTGGCGCTGTGGGTTAATGCGCCAGACTGCAAAGCCATTTGAACTGCAAGGTTGGCGGTTCAAACTCACCAGCTGCTCCTTGCACACCCTAAACAGGGTCACTATGGGTCAGAATTGACTCAACAGCACTTAACAACAACAACAACAACAATGTACCAAACAAGGAACCATGGTGGCACAGTGGTTAAGCACTCAGCTGCTATTTGAAGGGTCACCAGTTCAAACTCTCTGAGTTTGAGCTTGAACAGCTGACTTTACAGTCTGGCGTATTAACCCACAGCGCCATACTTAACCATTTGCACTGTCCAGGGATTCATATGTTGTTAATAAAGTAAAATTAAAAGTGTGATTCTCCTTATAAATGCTGAATGGGCACAGGACTTTATTAGGTAGGTACCCAGGGCTTGCAGGGCAGATGGAGTTCTCCACCACTCATTGGTGAGTACTAAGGCAGAAGGGGAGAGTGACGGCTGATCATCATGGCGACATCATAGAACAGGAAAAAGCCACAACAGAGTCCACCTCTGGACAAATCAAACCTTCCTTGCACTGGAGCACTATGCCACTGGAAAATGATGCTTCATGAATCTCTGAGGCCCACCTGCAGGCTCAGTGGATACCTGCTGAGTGAACGGATTGCTGTTCCCTATCTGTGATCCAGTCTTATGGCTACATCCTAGTGGAGACTGAAAGAGGTGGGTTGTGCGGTGGTTCTGTGCAATCTTGTGCCTCCTCCTACCAAGTACCTATCTTACTCCATCCATTTGGGTATTGGTGAAGAAAGGGGAAAGGAGGCCAGCAGTAGGGACTGAGGAGAGAAGGAAGCAAGAGAATGTAGGTGTGGTGGGCTGGATTTCAAAAGTGGTGGCTAGCCTGAAGGAACTGAGGAGAGTTAGGGTGGGATATCACGCAGGGCTGCTGGTAGCATACATAGTGCCTTTGGTGGATTAGAAAAGGGTGCTCCTTCCTGAAGATACTTTACTTCTGTCTGTTAGAAAACCATCCTAGTACATTTCACTAGTTAGAACAACACACCTTACTGACATCTGCTGTAAAACTATAATAAGCACACAAAACTATGTTGTGCTCCCCCCCACCCCCAGCGTTGTGTAATACACAACTGTGGAACTCTGGGTCTACAGTCCCAGGCTCTTTGTTGCCTCAGTTTATCCATTTATAAAATTTGGGGATGCTGGGAAGATTGGCGATAAGATTGATGTAAACTGCCTGGCATATATGGATGGTAGCAGATATAACAATGGAAAGGTGGGGTAGGGGTGAGGACAGCTCATCACCCTTCACACATCCTTTCCCCTCAAGTACTAGTGCCACAAACTCAGAGTGCCAACTTACGCTGATGACTGTGTCTCCGTTGAATTCAGTCACTGCCTTTATGCCTTTGAGATTGGTCACGAGTTTATTATCACCTTCCATATGAACCACCGTCTGCATGGGACAGAGAAATTCGCATGTGAAGAGGGCTCTGGGAAGGGAAGAAGGGCCTTGCTACTAAGTTAGGCTGTCCTGCATGGGTCTTTGCTTATGGTAATCAGAAGACCCAACTTGATACACTTCCCCACTGTCTATGCTCTAAGAACAAAAGAAAATATTAAGGTATCTTTTGTTAGAAGTTTTCTTTATGGTATGTATCTAGAAATGAACACTGGAAATCCAAGTGCTCTGAAATACAACACTGAAAGGAAACGAAGTAAAATATCAATTATCCAACTAATGGAGGGAGAGAGTGACAAAACTGCAAAAGCCCGTGAAGAGGACACCTATTTTGCGTTGGTATATGTAATTTCCTCAAGAACATTGAATAGTCCTGTTTTTGTCTCTTCTCCAAGCCTTATACATCCAGGAAGAAGTGACATAGAAATCTGTAAGAAGTGACAAATCCAACAGGGAACAGAAGATACTGGTCAAAATTAGAAATTTGCCACCCACCAAAATGGGCAATTGAAAAAGGGCCTAATAAAACCCGTGGTGACCTGTCCCTTACTCTAACTTCATCCGTGTAGAATACCAAGAGGTTTTCCCTCCTAAAATTTGTCACTGTTTTCCTGATTTATAACATTGTATCTGGAGAGGTAGAAACAAAGAGGGAACCGAAGAGGGGAAAAGACAAATGTGCTGACATCAATGCAAAGTTGTCTGGGGGAGAAACAAAGACAGATGTTTCTTGGTGTTTACTTCCCTGGGTTGTGCACTGCCTCTAAAGGTAGGAAAGAGGTCCCCAATGACTTCCACCCCCAGTGCCTGGACCTCCCTCCTATCTCCTGCTAACCCTACACACAGCCCAGTACCTCCTATAGAAAGTTTCTTCCCATTGCCACAATTCTAGCCTCAGTAAAGCCCATCTTACTGTGTGTTCAAAGATGACATCAGAGATTGGCTAAGGATTTTTCATTGATCCTCACGTGCCCTGCTGCTGGGCTTTGTCCTGCTGCGTGCAGGACTTTGAGAGCAGAGAGGTTGGGAGAACCTGAGACTTAGAATCCTTCAAAGGTGCCTGGTTCCTCTTGTATCCATGTGGGAGCACTCAGACTTGTGGGCCAGAAGGTCCCCTAGACAGTCCACAGGGAAGGCAAGAGGGGCTCAAGCTCTTCTTCTCTAAGAGTTGTCTTTGTCTTTTGACCTCTCACCCCAGAAGTGGGCTCAAAGACAGAGTGTTTTTGGTGGAAATTGTGAGGTGTAAGCCTTAAGGAAGGAAGTCCTGAGGCCAGGTCCCAGAGAAAGTTCCAGAAAGCAGAAAGGCATGTCCTACCTTGATTTTCTCCCCGGTCAGGTTTTCCAGCTCACACTCCTCCCCGAGGGTGAACTCATTATGGATCACTTTGGACCCAGTGGTGATGGTGAGTTTGAAGTGCTTTCCATTTTGCACGATTTCTGACACGCCCTTGATGTCCTTCCCCTTCTGGATGAGTTCATCAGGCAGACCTAGCGGGAATCATGTGAGTTTGAGAGATGGCAGTGGTGGCGGTTGTAAAGAGGGAGTGGGCAGTAGAAGCTTTGTGTCATGGAGTGGAGAAGCATGAGGCATTTCCTACAGTGCTGTGAGGAACATGGGCTTTGACCTCTAAATGGAAAGACAAGTGCCAGGGCTGACCTGCCTGATTGCTTTCTAGTTAATTTTTATAAAGGACACTCCTCTGGCCCGAAAAAACTTGTGAGCCACCTGATTTTCTCCCACTCTAATGTCAGGAGCCTTTGCTTTTTTAATGTATGCATTTCATCTGTCACATCCAGAGTGACCACAGGATTTATCTTCCCAAATTGTACCCTCCTAAAGGAGCACCATTAATAATTATGCCGGGACAACAACTAGCAGAGAATGTGCCAGGCAAACTGGGTAGACACAACCTCAGTCAAACCTCTTGAGGAAGAGGAAGCAGAATTCCCTAGGATAGGCCTCTACAGTTTTCAGAACCTGTTGTTATAAGATGAGGATTACAAAACCTGCAAGGTTAACCACAGGAGTGGAGGGCTCTGGTTCACACGTAAGGGTTACGAGACACAGCAGTGGCAGCACTTGCCCTACAGGACAAGATCCAAGTTCTCATTGCCACTCCTGGGTCTTCTGTCTCTGTCCTTGCTCTCTTCCCCAACCTTCCCTTTCACACCATCATCCCTTGTCACACTTTGTCCTTTTGCTCACCAAAGTCCCCCTACCTGTCTATATGAGTAGACATCTGCTTGTGTTTTTAGGCTCAACGGAAGGCTCACCTTACCACCACCAAGCCCTGACCATGGAAGGCTGTGGCCTGACCACTCCCTCTTCATCCTGGTGCTGTGAGGCACATGGGATTAAAGTATAATGTCTGAGACTCAGAGAACTACTTACTTCAAATCCCAATGCAACCACCTCCTGCCTGAGTGATCTTGTCAGAGTTATGTAGAGATTCTAGGACTTGGTCGCGTCAACTCCAGAATGGGAAAAGAAGAGTACCTAGCTCAGAGATTTCTGGTGACATAGAGTCAGCACACGGTCTAGAGTAGTTGTTGTATACCATCAAGTAGGTTCTGACTTACAGCAAGCCTGTACAAGATAATCTAAGATTGACTGGTGAGTTGGAACTGCTGACCTCGAGATTAGCAGTTCAATGCTTATCCCATAGCACCCTCCAGGGCCTATGGTTAGGGTTGTTGTTGCTGTTAAGTGTCATTGGGTTGGTTCTGACTCATAGAGACCCTATATAGGGTTTCAGAGGAGCAGCTGGTGGGTTTGAACTGCCGATATTGTGGCTCCAAGTCCAGTGCTGATCCTATGGCACCACACCAGGAGTCCATGGTTAAGGTAGGAGATACTTGTTGGTAAATGTTGTTGAGTTGGTTCCAACCCATAGTGACCCTGTATTGGGTTTCCAAGGAGCCTCCTTGTTGTCTATCTCCTTGGTACCTATCCAGCACAGCCAGTGGTGGGTCTTCAAGCAATGTTGTTAGAACAATGAATGAATGAACAAATAGTTTGTTCATTGAGGTAACAGCAGAGATGGGACTTCAATTCAGGTCAGATCCCTAAGCCAGTGCTCTTTCTGCTTGCCTCTAGAGCCCAAGCTTCCAGTTACTACAAAACTGAATAAAGTGCCCCTGATCTGGGGATAACCTGAATCTCTTCATCCACCCCAACATCACCTATGGGGCCAAACCAGATTGTTGTGACCCACAACCTTGGCACCCGGTCCAGTACTTACCAATTGCCTTCATGAAAGCCTCAAAGTTTTCCTGGCTGTGCACTTGGTACTTGCCGGAGAAGTTCATGGTGGCAATGAGACCCCTTCTTCACCACTGATCTGCAGCTCTGATGGTTGGACTCCCAGTATGAGTTGTTTTATAGGGTACTACTTCCCCTTCCAATATCGGTCATAGGTCAGCTGCCGTCGACTCCTTTATGACCAGGCTCAAACATTAACTCCTGAGAGCAATGGTCAATGATAGGAAACAGGCTGGCCACAGCAGAGGTTTGCTGGAATTCAGCAAATATTAGTGAGTGGCAATCAAGTGCAGAGCCCTTCATAGCGATCCTGCTTTTGAGGTGTATGTGTGTGTGAGCCATTGAAAAAGCATGACACTGTGAACCACAAGGTCAGCCATTTGAGCCCACCAGTTGCTCTGCAGGAGAAAGATGAGTTGTTCTTCTTCTGCAAAGATTTAAAAAACAAAAGGCCTAGGAAGCCCTATACACGGCCAAGCCACTCTGAGTCAGAACCTACTCAACAGCACTAAACAATAACAACAACAATAATAACAAAATGTGGGTGTATAGCCATACACAACATACAGAAGAATACTAAAGAATTCCTTTCACCTCAACAGCTCACCTTATTTGTCTAACCTTATGACTGCTTCCCTTCCTTATTTTTACATTAACTTGAGTTCTAGTGCTATTTTCTATTCTGGAAATTTCTCCTTGATGATTGTAGGCTCTTCCATAGTCCAAAAAAGTCTCCCTTTTAATGTGTTTGTTGTTGTTGTTAGTACCATTGAGTCGGTACCTACTCATAGTGACCCTATGTGCAACAGAACAAAACACTGCCCAGTCCTGGGCCAACCTCACAATTGTTGCCACACTTGAGCCCAATGATGCTGCCACTTTGCCAATCCATCTTGCTGGGAGTCTTCCTCTTTTTTTCTGACCCTCCATCTTACCAAACATGATATCCTTCTCCAGCGACTGTTCCCCCCTGACAATATGTCTGAAACATGAGAGACGAAGTTTGGCCATCCTGTAGCACTCTGGCTGCACTTCTTCCAACACGGATCTATTGGTTCTTTTAGCAGCCCATGGCACTTTCAATATTCATTTCCAACACCATCAAGTCTTCTATGGTCTTCCGGTGAATACTAAAGGGCACGTGTAAACCATTTAAATGAAGTGTATGGAAACTGAGATGTACAAGAGAGATTCAAAAAAGTTTGTGGAAAATAATTCCATTATCTTTCAATTCTGTTTTTCCACCAACTTTTGAAACCCCTTCATATTTTAATAGGCAGAGACAAGGTAGGAAAAGAAAGAAGACTTTATCTGCTGACTTGTCCCCATTCCTGTCTTGAAGGGAGGGACAAGAAATTTGGTGTTGCATCTAGGGAGTTTGGCCTTGTGGAGCTGACCAAATGAACTTATTGTGTTCATTTTCTTATTGAGTTGCTATGGTGCTAAATGCTGGAAGTATTTCAAATACCAGCAGGGTCGGTAGGTTTCAGGGGAACTTCTGGACTAAGACAGACTGAAAAGAAAGACCTGGTGATCTATTTCTGAAAATTAGACAATGAAAACTTTATGGATCACAAATGAGCATTGTTCGACTCACTTGCTTTGGACACACATCAGGAGAGCCCAATCGTTGGAGGAGGAAATAGAGGGCCAGGAAGGGCAAAGGAGATCCTCAGTGAAATGAATTGGCACACCAGTGGCAATGATGAACTGGAACATACCAGTGATCATGAGAAAGACACAGGAGGGGCAGTATTCATTCTGATGTGCTTAAGGTTACCACAAGTCGAAGTTCACTTGATAGCACCTGTCTATCTATTATTATCTTTGAATGGCTTTTATTTGCTGAACCATCACTGATTGAGCACCTGACATGTGTTAGGTACTAGGAATGCCCAGACAGGAGTACAGTGAAAAAACTTACCTAGAATCATCATTCCAGCAGGATTTGGAATATGGGTATTTTTACACAGTGCTCTGCACGCCCAGAGGAGGGAGGGGTTAGCATCCTCAGAGGGAATCAGCAGAGGTTTTCGTTAAGGAGATGACAGCAAATAGGAAGAGAAGGTAGAGCAGGACGGAGGGAGCTGAACATACAAAACCTGGGAAGGTGTAGACTAGGCCTAGGATGGGGTGGGGGTGGGGCGTGGAGGGAGGAATAAAGTGTAGAGGGAGGGAATGAGGATGAAGAGGTAGGTGAGAGCTCAGAGCACAAGCAATGCATATGGCAATGACATTTCCCAAGGCAAAAATTAGAGCTCATGATGAGAAGAATGCAAGTGTTGATTGTTGATGCTAACTCACGTCAGTACCAACTCATGGCAACCCTGCGTGTGCAGAGTAGAAATGCTTCAGGGCATTTTCAAGGCTGTGAACTTGTGGGAACCAATTACTCTTCTGAGGTTTCTCTGGGTGGATTTGAACTGCTAACTTTTCAGTTAGTAGTCCAGTGCTTAACCATTTGTGCTTCCCAAAGACTACAAGAGTTCTTGGTGGGTAGCAACCATGGGCAGGACAAATGAACCAGGGCTTTCTAAGGTCATCCAAATCCTGTGGTCCCTGGAGCAGCGAGCACCACTGGAAACTTACATCAGGAGGGCTGATGTGTCCTTAGCTCGTTATGGTCTTTCTAACCATAGAGTGAAGGGACCCTGGGGTGCGAAGGCTGCAAGGGAAGAGGCTGATGACAAGTTCAGACAGGGAGGAGAAAAAAATTTGGGAGAAGGGGTCATCTGCTTCAGAGGAAGAAAGGAGGGGTTTTGAGGAAACTTCATATAATTTCTACTCTTGTGCTTCACGACAAACAAGTGCACCCCAAAGTCCCAGAAAGTACTTCTATGCCATCTCCGCAAGACCAGTGCCTGGCTAGCAGAGGGGAGTCCAGGAGGCTCCACAAAGCCAAGCTCCCCAAACAGATCCCCAAATTTCTTGTCCCTTCCTTCGAGACAGGAATAGGGACAAGCTATCAGGTAAAGTCTTCTTTCTTTCCCTACCTTTTCTCTGCCTAATGAAATATGAAGGGGCTTCAAAAGTTGGTGGAAAATAGAATTGAAAGATAATGGAATTATTTTCCACAAACTTTTTGAATCACTCTTGTACGTCTCAGTTTCCATTTGCTTAGTTTTAATGGTTTACACGTGCCCTGTAAGTATTCATTTGTTTAACACTTTAAAAGGGAGACTTATTTGGACTATCAAGGAGAAATTTCCAGAATATAAAATAGCACTAGAAATTAAGTTTATGTAAAAATAAGGTTAGACAAGTGGGTGAGGTGTTGAGGATAAAGGAATACTGACCACCACTGTGGTGTATTCTATTATCTCTAATCCCACAGACCAAAAAAAAAAACCACGAGAAACCTCACAGTCACCATATTGATTCTGACTCATTGCGACCCTCTATACGGTTACTGAGTCTATACATCTTTGCGGGAGCAGAAAGCCATTTCTTTCTCCTGTACAGACCCTCCCAAACCTCAAAGCACTTTAGAAGTCTTTTTATATAGCTATATGCCTAATACTAGAATCTCTTCTCCTGTATCCCTAGCAGGTGATGGTAGAATCCATCCTGTGATGGGGAGATGGCTGCCTCCTGGGCAGTGGGGCAGAGAGCACTAGCTGAATGTATGTAGTCCTGCAGATTCTGACACCAAGCAACTGTCCCCTCCAGCACACAGGTGAGCTCTGTTCTGCTGCCCTGCTCGGCCTGCCTGATAGTGCCCGGAATACAAAGTGCTTCCCAGGCCATGGGTCTGGGTTGTCTTGGAGTTGAGTAGGATGTGTATGCTGAGAACTTATTGGCTATTTAGAGTCACAACAAAAACCCTAGTATTGAAATCTGTAGACAGGCTCAAACTATGACAAAGGGTAGACCCATAGTATCCTTCCTCACTGCACCCCTGCCTTGTCCTGACCTCTAATTATGTTTCTTGTAATGTGCCTCATTGTGTTGAAGAGGCCACACTGGACTCTGACCTCCTCCAGGTGGCCTAGTGAGTTTTCATGGTGTGTCTCTGTGGGATCAGCAGTGGACTGCAAATCACAAAGTCGGCAGTTCAAACCCACCAGCTGCTCCTTGGAAGTCCTATACAGGGTAACTATGAGTCAGAACTGACTCAATGGCACTCAACAGCAGCAGCAGCAAGGAGAAAGGTGAGGCTGTTTCTGAAACCCTATGGAGCAGTTCTACTCTGTCTGAGAGGGTTGATATGAGTCAGAATTAGCTTAAGAGTAGGGGGAGGGTAAGGGTATGAAAAACTATTGTCTTCAAACTGGCACCAGAATCCTCTGAGAGAAAGCTGGGGGGTGGGGTGGTGGTGGTGGTGCATGTGTGTGCATACATGTGCATGCGTGTGTATAAATGATCACATAAGCTGTTTGGGAGAGAGAGTGAGAACCAAGACTTGTGTGTCCACAAGAGCAGAGCTGACCAAGGTGCAGGGAACTCTGCTATGCTGGAGACCTGGAGAAGCCGGGCCTGGCCCAGCACGTCCTGTCTCCTCTGTCCTCCCAGCAGCACCTGCAGACTCAGAAAACACTGGGGATGCAACGAACTTTGAGATGGTCAAGGGTCTGGTACAGTGAGGAAGCCCTGCCAACTCATTACCTCACCAAAGAGACAGCCTGACAGTCAGAGAAGCAGGTAGGCAGAAATGACAGGCACCGGGTGACAATTGTTCTCTCTTGATCCCAGACATGGCAATTCTTAAGCAACCTCCAATGGCTTCTGTTAGGTCAGCCTTGTCTGCGAGCCTCCAGGCCACAGAAATTAGTGGCCTTTTAAAAAATGAGTACTGTATTTAGAAGTAGTTTTCCATAAAACTGGGAGAGGGCAATGACATGCCTGCCCACAAGATGAGTAAACACAAGGAGAGATAAGTTTAATTGGAATGACAAAGTTCAAGAGACTTCAAGCGGGGTGGAGGGGAAGAAGGCTCTCACTCCATGGACAGAGCATCTGATCTTGGTCAGCCCCAAATTTCCTACCCCTCTCCTGTCCCTACTCAACGTCCCCTCTCCTGACCCTCATTATTCAGATGAAGGGCATAGAGGCACAGGACAGGTGGTGATGTGTCTTCTCAGCTGCCAGG